ATTACTTTTACACTTAAATGTGTTCATATTAGTTACCTTATTTGCATAATTAGTTTTCTGCATTTCCATCAATATCTCAAGTTCAAGTAATTTTGAATTAATTTTTAATGTGTCTCCAATACTCTCAGCACACGGGAGTTCTTTCTAAGCTTTCTTTGATTAGTTTTTTTACTGAAAATAGTACATTGTAATTTTTAGGACTCAAATTGGTTAACCGTTTTTAATTGATCTTAAACAATGTTAAAATGTCTTTCATCGAAACCCTGTTTTAGAATTTTATTATGTTTTAGAAATTATGTTCAAATCTTGCACAAAGTGTTTGATTTGTTGCTAGAATTAATATCAAAATCCAAACTTGTCATGGTTTGTCAGGCAAAATGAAAATTACATTTTAACATTTATCCTCGTTATCGTCAATAAGGCCAGACTTTTATTATCCCTTGTTTCGCAAACCCGTCGAATGAACAGGAGCCGAAAATGAAATAGAAATAAAATTTTATTTCAGCGTAATTTCTCGCTACTTGTAAGTGCGAAAAATTACTAAAAAAACTTATTATTTTCATTTTTTTTTGGCTCGCCGCATAACAAACCCAAGTTGCATTTTCGTGGGAGTATCATGATCAAAGTACCGAAGTCTCGCGCAGATGAGAAACAAGGTTATACATGGAATAAAATTTTATTTCATTTCTTCTCTCCGATCAATGATCTCACTTACAATTCTTTGAGAATCACACAAATCTAATGGAAAAAAAGAATTAATTCTATTTTTTTTTCGCCCTTCTCAAAAAAATTGTCTTATAAAAACTCGAGAAACAAGGAATAAAAAAAGTCTGGTCTAAAGCTGTTAAAACTTCCTACAAAAATCAATTGCAAAAAAGGCACTCTTGGAATGATTGGTTGTGAAAATCACTTCCTACAATATTCATTCATTGTCAATATTAAACAGTGTATTACATAATTAATTAATGGAAATCTTGATCTATCAGATAAAAGGACATTCTGGTTGCACAGTATTTAAGATTCATGATAAATTCAAATTCAAATCATTTTCACAAAAACATAAAAATAAAAAAAATAAAAATTGCTGCATCAGTTTTAAAAGAAAGAACATTTTATTTTTTGTATTTGTTTTAACTTACTACGATATTTGCCCTATTAAAAGCACATCTTTAATAAAAACACAGATGAAAAAAATTAATTTTAATCATTTAAATATATTATCTATTTTGACCATAGACACATCATTGTCATTTACATGTACGTAAGTATATGCACTACTAATAGAGCAAATAAGCTATTAGAAGTTATATAATTTACTTTCAGTTATGACCTCTAATGAATCTACCTGCAACTTCTTCTCTGAAACCATTGTGCCTGTGATAATATTATACTTTCTATTATAGAGATCCAGATGTATGTATTAAACACATGGTATTTTGGAATGTTGTTAAGTCCTTTACAAAATGATGACACTTTACACACCAGTATTGAACAGATGGTTCACTGTGCATTGGAAAGCATGAGTGAGTATATATACATAGCACCTTTCTCTGCATGGTTATTTGCACATCAAATTCTATTGATGTATGCGGTGTTTTCTCATCAGAAATATTATGCTGGTGATAATTGTATCCAGTCATAAAAATTTTTAGGATCTCATAAAATTCCTCCCTTATTTTTTCCCCCAACATTTTGGTTCAACATTTTTCATATTTTTAATTATTCTTCTCATAGTATCTAATAGTTTTGGACAAAATGGATATAATTTTTCATTTGCTACAAATTTTCAGTAATTTTTTTTTTAAATGAGGAAAAAATTATTTAGGTTACTTTATTTTGTGAATGGTAACATTTTCTTGGGCCACTAGAAAATCTCCGTAATGAGTAACCTGGCAACGTAGTACTTTTACTGATGTAGCAAAGGTTGTGTCCTGTTTAATATAGCTACCACTGGATAGTATGTGCAATGTTCAGCCACACATTTTGGTTGACTAAATATACATATTGCTATTATTTGGGTAATTTTGCATTTATTTTGTTTATTTCATCCTTGGAATTTTATTGGTATCTCCAAATATAGCAATAAATTACACGGTAAAAGACAAACTCAAATAAAAATGCTATGTTCATGCCATGCAAACAATACTTACACATCTGATGAATTTTTAGACAACCACAAAAAATAACATTCCAGATCTTTGCATACTATTATCATAAACTTATGTCATGTGACCATGTGTTTGCTCATGTGGTATCACAAGGGTAAATTTGACTTAGTATTATGGATAAAAAAAATATGAAAAAAATTGATAACAAATACATATATGTATATCCTTTGAAAAAAGACATTTCAATAAATAATGTGAAACAAAATTCAGGACTAGCCACCTTGATCTCGGAATTGTAACAGGCAGATATAGACACCCTCAAACACCAATAACAGAAAGTATTACCCATTATAATGTTAAATTGTTGTATGTAATACAAACTGATGTGCTAACTATTCATAACAATGTAATATGAACACATAATTTTAATAATAATTATCACTATATTCATATTATATTAAATAGGGTACGCAAAATTATTTCTGGTCAACATGCACATCAGTTCAAATGGGGCTGCTTATGACATGTTTCCTGTTTTTTGTCAAAATACTGAAAATATTAAAGAAGAAAAAAAAGTTGCCCCCCAAGCCAATAATCACATTTCTATATTAATATGTAGATGTATATTTAGCAATCTTCAGGGAGGCATATTAAAATAACCTTCGTGGTATACATGTGACAATATTCTTCCTTCCCTAGTTGATCGCCCACCACTACTGACATCGGAACACGTCACCGTACCAGTAAGACACACGGAGAGATTGGGATTTGATGAAATTTACATGATTAATTTGTTACGAAGACCTGACAGGAGAGAGAGAATGGTGGCCGCATTTGATTTACTCGGAATTGATGCCACCCTGGTGGATGCTGTAGATGGGCAGTACGTACCGTTATTTCTAATTCTTGGGGTATAACCTCTTATGTTGCTAGGACATGCACCACTGTACCATGTATTTTTATCGGCTCTGTGCGGGCTGCTGTAGAACGCAGAGCAAAAAGCCGGTGAAAACAGCTAAAGTCAAGAAAACAACAAAAACCCAACTTTGAGGCTGAGTGTTTTTGACCATTGCATTGTATTGTATTTGCCAGACACCTCAATGATAAAATTACAACTAGTCCTTCCATAGTGTACATGTAATAGGCAAGATTTAGTAATGTGTGAAAAATTGACGATTTTAGATAGAAAGTTGACGTACTGTAAAATACTTTATTTTAGCTGGAATTAATTTTCCGCTGGAAAGACATTTTGGGTGTTTTGTATGGAATTTATTTTCACTGATTTTTGACGAGTTGAATGTAAAATATAGGAAAAAAGGTATTTACGCTGGATTTTATTTTCACTGAATCATTCCTTCAGCGAAAATTAATTCCAAGCGTAAATAAAGTATTCTACAGTATTGCTTGAGACATTCACTCTGTGAGAAATAAGCCATTCACCGTCTGTTCAAGTATGAACTTGTTTACTAAGAAAAAAAGACGTGGCATATTTACAAATATTAATGTCTATTAAAAAATATGTCTTTGTTCGTTAACAAGGGAGCTTACAGATGAGAAAGTGTTGGAGCTTGGTATAAAGATGTTGCCGGGATTTGCCGACCCTTACCACGGCAGAGAACTCACTAAAGGAGAGATTGGATGTTTTCTCAGCCATTACAATATATGGCAGGAGGTACATACATTTCTCTCCTAATTTACATACCATATTTTCACATTGTTTTTGTACATTGTATTTTGAATATTAATATGTCTACTGCAATCAATTGTAATTTCATCCTATCTAGAAATCTCATGAAATTATAAATCATGAAAAGGAACTAGTCTGTGGGAGATCAAAAAAGGTTGTTCAAAATGAGGGCACTACACCTGTTTTCATTTCTCTGCTTCCAAAAAGGTTGTAAAATGGAAAGCTATAGCACCAAACGAGGGCGCTACACTATTATTTCCTGTTTTCATTTCTCTGCTTCCAAAAAGGTTGTAAAATGGAAAGCTATAGCACCAAACGAGGGCGCTACACTATTATTTCCTGTTTTCATTTCTCTGCTTCCAAAAAGGTTGTAAAATGGAATGCTATAGCATCAAACGAGGGCGCTACACTATTATTTCCTGTTTTCATTTCTCCGCTTCCAAAATGGTTGTAAAATGGAAAGCTATAGCACCAAACGAGGGCGCTATCCCATTATTTCCTGTTTTCATTTCTCTGCTTCCAAAAAGGTTGTAAAATGGAAAGCTATAGCACCAATTGAGGGCGCTACACTATTATTTCCTGTTTTCATTTCTCTGCCTCCAAAAAGGTTGTAAAATGGAATGCTATAGCACCAAACGAGGGCGCTACACTGTTTCCTGTTTTCATTTCTCTACTTCCAAAAAGGTTGTAAAATGGAAAGCTATAGCACCAAACGAGGGCGCTATCCCATTATTTCCTGTTTTCATTTCTCTACTTCCAAAAAGTTGTAAAATGGAAAGCTATAGCACCAAACGAGGGCGCTATCCCATTATTTCCTGTTTTCATTTCTCTACTTCCAAAAAGGTTGTAAAATGGAATGCTATAGCACCAAACGAGGGCGCTACACTATTATTTCCTGTTTTCATTTCTCTGCTTCCAAAAAGGTTGTAAAATTGAATGCTATAGCACCAAACGAGGGCGCTACACTATTATTTCCTGTTTTCATTTCTCTGCTTCCCATAAGGCTGTAGAATGGGTTGCTATACCACTAAGCGAGGGCGCTACACCATTATTCCCCGTTTTCATTTCTCTGCTTTCAAAGGCTTTATAAGTGCTGTAACACCACATGAGGGCGCTATCATATTATTTCCTGTTTTCATTCGATTCTTTGATTCCCCTAAGGTTGTGAGTAAAAACTACAGTAAAGTTATGGTGCTAGAGGATGATGTTAGATTCAAGTTCAAATTTCTGGAGAGACTGAACGCAATGATGGCAGAACTGAAAGAACTACACATAAACTGGGACATTGTGTAAGTATTCTGTAACTGAAATGACGACTGGCATGTTACAAAAATGTCTTGATAAAATAATTAGATTAGAATTGAATCAACACAGCATCCTTTTCAGCAGCCAGCAGTTAATAATTTTCAATAATATTTTGTCTGATATGTCAGAATTGGATGAATGGAAGATGAAGGGGGTAGTTAGAGAATAGAGGATGCATTACTGCCCCGGGTGACTTTACTGAATATTTAACTGGCAATTATCGTGACTCTTTTTATTTTCGTCCTGTGAATGAGAGC